GTTTCCTTCCTCTATTTGTCGTAAGAGTTCAGAATTTTTTGACAAATATCATTTACTTTCTATAAGCCTTTTTTTTTATCTTGAGTATAAAGCTACATAAAGGATGTTCAATATTTTTATTTAACCAAACTATATTAAAATTCTAACCTGGCCTGATTGTACTTGGCCACCTCCACGTTTCATCTAGAAAGGCTCCCTCTTTTGCAGTACTGTCTGCCTTTTCATTCCATTTTATACCTAAATATACTTTCACTTTTACTAGTTCTAGATTATTTTACTTGAATTGGACTATCTCTATTATTTTGTCTAGTAGTGTTTTGTTTTGCTTTTTTAGAATTTTACTGAACACTCTTTCTCTAAGTGCACTCTTTACTGCTGAAATTGCTATTGCACTATCTAATTTAATTTTAACTAGTACGTCTGTAGGAACTGTTAATAGTGCATATAGTATTGCTAGTAGTTCTGGTCTTGTTGATAAAGGCCAATTCCCCACTCTTACTTTGCTTGTAAAAACTATCTCTTTTTCATCTTCAGAGACCTGAACCTAATCTGTGCCCATCCTGTCTTCTTTTTTTTTATTGTACTTATTTGGTAACCATGAGCCGTCCATATAAAATACGTATTATTTCTCTTGTATATAAGATTATTTTTTGTTCTATCAAGTAGTAAGGCTACGATGTTTGCTGGCAGGTTGAGATTCTTTATATACTCAATACTTTCTGTTTTTAAATCTTCCACACTTTTAAGAAGACTCTCTATTGCATAACTTTTCTTCTTATTAGAGTAACTGTAAGTTTTTGGCATAATTTTTAAATATATACTATTGTTGATTCTTGTTATATGTTATATCCTTTTTAGTACTTTGTCTTGGTTAAGTTCTAATATACAGTTGTTCTCTTTGCCCTTTTTGTTAAGTTCGCAACTTTGACAATACTTTACTAGGATACCACTTTTGATTAGATCAGCTTTTACCAATATTTAACTAGTATCTTGCTGTGTTTCTTCTTTTGTACTTATCCAATTAAAATTTGCTTCTTTTCTTTTCAAACAAGACCCAATCTTTTTTTCTTTTATCTAGATAGATGTTAAGCAGTCTAGAAATAAGGGTTTTATTATTTATTTCCTATAAGTGAAACTAAGGTTTTATCTTCTAGTTCTTCACTTCTTCCAGGACTAATTCTTCAATAGCCTTGTATCAATATGGAACCTTATCACAACTATTAAGACTCTTAATCATCTTAACTTGTTGCTATGTTAACAAGCTCTTACTACTTGGATTAAGTAACTAATTGATGTAGTATATACCCAATTTTGCCTGTGTATTTCTACTTTTACTTTTTTGTTTAGTGTCCAATAAACTTGTAATTGTTGGTCCTAAACTTTGTATATACCAACCTTCTTCTTCAGACCAGAATGTTATATCTATTTCTTTACACTGCTCAATTATATTTAATGTGATATTGTCCTTATGTGATAAACATGTTTCGCTAGCTCTTTCTTGTCAAATATTGTGTATTATAATATTTTTCAGGATTTCTCATCTAATCCACACTTTGGTTAGGCTTTCTATTGTACCTGAGCTGTTTAGTCTTTTGAAGAGAGATAAAGCCTGTTTTGCTAAAACTGAACCTGTAAGCATTTTGATATCTAGTGTATTTTTATGGACTAATATACTATTTGATACTGTCTGAGCGATACCTAGCTTTCTTTTTATTAAGCATAGAAAGAGTTAGTGAATTGAATGTAGCTTCCTTTCTGACAAAGCCACTGTTTGTAGAATATAATCTAGTTTCGAGATTAGAACTTGATTGTTTATATATACCAGTTGGCTTGCTGTAGTTTTCTTCTTTTCTAGTTTATGCATAAATGAGCCTATCACTTGCTTTACTCTTTTTTTTTATCTCTTTTATTTCTTTTGTTGTGTATAGGATTGTATCTAAGAAGCAGATTTCACTTAACTTTCTAACTGCTTCTACTATAGCTTCACCATACCTTATTTGTCTTTCCTTTAATAGAAGCTTTGAGTTAAGCATAATTAGCTTCGACTTGCTACCATTAATTTCTATACTATTTAGTTAGAAAAACTACTCTGCAATCTGAATTATTTGCTCAAGCTGGTCTTTAGAACTGGCAATCCATGTTGTATTATCTGCATAGATGAGAACTGCTTGTCTTATACTTTTTTGTTTTCTGGTCCCAAGCAGCTCTTTAAATTGTTTTGGGCTTTTGATTTTATAGCCAAGCTCTTTGCATCTTTGCATTTGGTCTAGCAAGAGATTATAAAAGATTCTCTACAGTAAAGAGGAAATGGCCTCTCTTTGGTCTATTTTCTTGTCTGCTACAATGTTTTGTATTAATCTGAATGCTGTTATAATCTTCAGCTTTCTGTTCATAAACAGGTTTAGAATTAGTTTGTAGCATCTATTTGAAATTTTGATTCTTCTTTAGGCTCTTTCTAGCATGCTTAAATTAACTGAATCGAATGCCTTTTTCATGTCTTGGAAAAGTAACCAGATTTCTTGCTTGTTTTCTTCTGCTTTCTCAATAAGCATTTTTAATATGTAAGCTGGTTCTTCGGTGGAGTTGCTAGATAACTTTGTGAAGTTTGGACCACAAAGAATAAATTTTTTTTAATAACTTTACTTAGTCTCTTTGTCAGTATCTTTGTAACATGTTTTCTAAATACTTCTATTAATGCAATTGGTCTAACTTTATCTAGATTATACTCCCAGTCCTGCCCTTTTGGTATAGGGTAGATTTGCATTGTTTTCCATTTAACTAGGATGTTGCCAACTTGTAAACAAAGCTCTGCAAAGTTTTTGAAAATTTGTAGTGATCTTGTATCAGCTTGTTTTAAAAGAGGATATAAAATTGTTGATATTCTTGGTGCTAAGTTAGTTTTACTTTCTTTTAGCATTGCTTACCACTCATCTAGTATAATTAGTTGTATAACCAGATCAAACCAAGACTCTTAGATTCTTTCTTTTGACTAGTATTCATTGGTCTAAAGTTTCTCAGCCTCGATGTGGCTCTTTTTCTTGCTTACAAATTGTTTTTGAAAGTGTGCTTGAACTTTTTCTAAAACTTTTACTAGATTATTTAGTAATATTTCTTGGTCTTGGTTTTAAAGTAGTACTCTATCTAGCACCATTTTGTTGAATAGCCACTCTAGTAAGCTAGTTAGCATCTTTTTTTGATCATTTACAATTTGTTCTGCTCTTTTTTGAATATATGCTTGTATGTCTTTCTTCTTATTCTGCTCACTACTTGTTATTAACTTGCCTTCAATTGCTTTTCACTATATAAGTACATCTTCTTGCTATAGCTTGACTTCTAATATTTTAATATTTTTAATATTACTGTTTGCTAAAGAGTTTATTTGCTTTATTTTTCTATTCCACTCTGAAATTTTTCCTTGTAACTCAGTGTTGTTTGCTGCTCTGGTTTCTCTAATTAATTTGTCTAGCAAATAGGCTGCCTTTACAAATTTGTTTTTTTTGTTTTTGTAGTTTACTTTTTTCCCAAAATCTACTATTTTGTTAGATAAATTATGTTATCCTACTAGTAGAATTGCACTCTCTAAAGACTTCTACAATTTGTCAAAATTTGCTTCTAGTTTTTCTAATTCCAATAGATCTAACAATAGTGTTTCTTGTTTGAGTATTCTTAGTTGTTTACAATTTAGCCTATTTTAGAGGCTTTCTTGATAATTACTCCAGTTTTCTTCTGTAGCTAAATTGAGCTTTTATACTTTTTTTTTATACTTGATATATTCTTTGGGTGATTACTTGAGTAAGCTAGTAGATACTATTTAAGTTTTGCGAATACTAAGTTATAATCACTGCCTGTGACTGTTGTTATGCAATCAATATTAGCCTCTTGCATTATGTTAACTATATTCCAGAATATCTATATTTAATCTATTCTTGTTGCAACTATGTTGTTGCACTATATGAACTTCTTTTTATATAGATTGAGCAATATATATATATTGACAAAATCATATTCTTTAAGCCATCTATGCATTGCTAATTTTCTATAGCTCTCTGTTTGTGATAACTTGTCTATAGTGTGCCAAGTCACTTCTTATCAAAAATCATGCTTATTTTAAAAAATTTATAAAATCTTAAGTTTTAAATATTTTTTAAAAATATAACCAATAAAAACTATTATTTTTTATTAGTACTATCCAAATTATCGGTTAGAATTTTTTAAAAAGTTTACAATTTAAATTTTTAAATATTTAAAGCTATTATGCCTTCAAAATTTTGGCGTTTAATATAAAAAATTTTAAAATTTTTTTTATAATTTTTTTTTTATCCAATCAGAATTAGTATATAATGCATTCTGATTGGCTAAATAGTATTTATATATACTCTAAATTTGGCGCATTTGATGTGAAGTGACTTGGTGTACCATAGTAGTAATTCTATACTTGTAGCAATAATTAAGGCTATGAGTAGTATTAGTAGCACTATTCATTTTCTTTAGATCAGGTTTATTAAATTCTGCCACAGAGTCTTTCTTGTACTGAAGCTTTACAAGATGAACTTTAGAAGTATGTTCTAAACTTTGTAAGCCTTTGGTTTCAGAACCAATAGTAGAAACTAAATTGGCTTTGTATATATTCTGCAAATTTGGAGTTCTTTAACCTAGGTGAATTCAAGTAGATTGTATATTTTGTTTTTTTTAAAAGTATCTTAATATATGAGTGTAAATAAAGAATCAGTGCTTCATTACTGTTTCTATTATTAGTAAGGTCTTCTAGTATTTTAAATACTATATTCAAGACTTGCTGAAGTTGTGCATCATCAATATAATTGTTTTCAAAAGTTTTATTTAGAATTTTTTGAAACTCAGCTACTTGTTTATTAATAAGGATCTTAGATAAAGTGGCACATTACATACATGCTAACCTCATGAAAAAGATATACTAGCTTTGCAAAATAAATGAAAGATTTTAGCAACCCCAATTAATAAAAATCTATTAAAATTATATAATGAGTGAAAAATATAAAAAGCAAAGAAATAGGTACAAACAATTAAGAACTAACAAAACAAAAATGCTTACCACCACTGCTATACAAATACACATTAACATAAATACTATTAATGCTCTCTCTGTTCAACCAATGCCCTGTTCTTACTATAATAGTCAAGATCTTGCTACAAAAGTAAATGCTGTCTACTAAGCTATTCTCCTTGCTTTGAATGAGAAAGGCAGAGTAGAAAATTTCATTTACACTTTTTACTTAGGTGTATTGCTTTATTAAGCATGTCAAAAGCAGCTTGGCAACATATGTCAAGAAATTCCTTGTTATTATATAGATACTGCCATTTGACTTTATCACTTATATGAACTCCTTGATGTGAAGAATTTCTACTACACCACCTAGACAACTATAAGCAAGGTCCAAAAGATATCTGTCAATGATTACAAGTAGTTACTCCAGTAATTACTTATGAAACTTGTCTCTAAAAGTAGGAAAATATAAAGGTGGGCCGGGTGACTGTAATCTAACATATTTTTAATTTTATTTTTTTGATTTATTCTATTTTTGTTATTATTATGTTATTAGTTATTTTTTTTTATTTTCAAAGTTAGAATAGTATATGTTGCTAAAAATAGGAATTTCATATCTTGGTGCAAATTGTAACTGTGACAAATTATACCAGGTGCAAATTGTATCTACTCATTCAATGCCAGGTGCAATTTGCACCTAGTCAACTAAGCCCAGTACAATTTTGCATTAAAACAATCCTTTCTACAAAACTTATTGAAATTAGTATTTGACAAATATATTAGAATAGCAGAGTTATCCATATACATAGTAAAGATCAAAAGTATATAAGACCTATCTTTCTGCCATAATAAAAAAATAACTCAGTACGAATTAACTCATTAGTTGAGTTCTTAACTTCAAAATTGTCAAGTAGAAGTCAGTCCTCTAATAGATAATTCCCTTGACCTTAAATTTGTCCTCTATAAACCGTTCTTAATAAAACTGTTTTCGAATTTTCTTGTCCCCCATGATACTCATAAAAGTCGCTATTTTTTTTTTGTTGTAAGAGAAAAGAGGAAGAAACTATCAAATTAATAATCCAGACCTTATTTATACCTCAAATAAATTAAACTCTGATCGAATATCGTCATAATTACCAATACTCACCGATTACGTCTAACAATCGAAATTATTGAAGTCTCGTGACACGTGACCCCGAAATAAGCAGTATACCCAAAAGAAGAGCTATTTCGAATTAGTAGTGTCATATTCGAATAATACAAGTACTAGTAACTTCAAATAAGAATTAAAAGAATCAACCTGACCCGGTTATTAACCCCACAAGGCCCAAGCTCTAATAACTCGGACCAAGTCTCTCCGCGCCTCAATCGTCGCCTTCCACATTTGGAGCCACGGCTTTGATCGTTATCATTATTTTTTTTTGTAGTGGTTAGATAGGTTTTAGATAGATAGTCGCCACCAGCTATATCTCACCTTTACAACGTACGTTTCAAGGTTATTCGTTGAAGATATCTAGATACAAATCAATGGCAGATTTAATGATAAAAATTTTTTCTAACAGGCAAATGCCGGAGGTATAAGTCACGTGAAATATAAAATATCCGGGTATCTTACAGGTAAAATACGGTACATATTATATGCATTAACTTTATTATGCTGATATAAGTCAACAATACTATAAGTATTGCACTACGTAGTTACGTGAAAAAAATTACACAATTACCACGTATTTTATGTATTTAAAACGTAATTGTACAAGTCTGGACACTTTGACTAGAGCTTCGTATTCGTATTCGTTATTCGAATAATATTCGCATTCGGCGAATATTCATCTGATGAATAATTCGAATAACATATTTCATTCGAATAATTTTCAATATTCGTCATGTGAGACTTCAGTCATTGGCTGATTTACACAGTAACGATAAATGTTATTCGAATAAATATTACTTATTTGAATTCTGTTAGTCATTCGGCGAATATTCGAATAGATATTTGCCGATCTAAATTATCCGAATATTATTCGAATAAGGAATCCGTAAGCTCTAACTCTAGCGCGAACTTGTGTTTTTGAAGGTCGTTTTGGATGCTAAGGCTTGAAGCAAAAGATAAACAATAAACAACGATAAAAACCAACGATATTAAAACCAGTCAAATTCATTAGACTCAATTTCATCTAAATTACAATTATCAAATGTGACAATTAATGATTCTGAAGTTATTAATCAATGAAAGCAAACAATTTTGTTGCTAATCCTTAGGGATAGTTATACATTATTACGTCTTCGATTAAGGGATGAAGTTTGATTTGGTTTAATATAAATTCTAATTTATGCAGATCCTACATCAATCAAATTTAAATCAATCCAAATTATCCCTAATTATATTATCCTGCCTGTAGTTAATAAGGCAATTTTTTAATTGTCTTATTAATTTAATCTAATATTTGTAGTCGATTAAATCGTCAACTAATATCACTCATGATAATGAATTATGTATAAATATGTATGAATTTCTTACGTATTCATGCATGTTCATTGTTCACGAGTGTGATATTAATCGACGATTTGAGTCGACTACAAACATTAAACACTTCGTGCGTACGTCACCATATTGAGAGCTAATAATCTAATTATAAAAAATGACACGTACATTTTGGTTTTCACCTATATTTATGGTTTATTTCTCTGAAATTTCTGTTTTCAAAATCTTGAAATATACGTATCCCGTTAGCACAAACGATTCAACCAACACAAGTGATCTAATTAGCACAAGCAATCAAATCAATACGAACAATCTAACCGACACAGGAAATCTCATCAATACAAAGACTTAACACAACAAATTATATTTTGTTATGGCATCAAAAATATTTATGGGTGACATGCCTGAACTATTGGAAAATATTTTAAATAATCTAAAAGATTTTCACTCTTTATATTCATGTGCGCTTGTGAGCCGCTTTTGGAGTAATATATCTGTTCCTATTCTTTGGAAAGATCCATTTTCATTTAATCGAACACCATTGTTTATATCTAGATACTTTTCATCACTAAACGAGCATGACAGTTTTATATTAAACGAGTGTGGAATAGTCGTAGATTTTCCAAATACTCTATTTAATTACGCAAGATTTTTAAAAGTTTTGGATTTATCTTCTCTGGATTGTCTAGTTGAAGATTGGATTGATGAGTTGGATGTTAATTTACGAAAGGATGCCAAGATAGCAAAATATGACTTGGCTAATTTGTTATTTAAATTGTTTATCGAGAGTGGTGCCAAATTGTCTGAATTTTTTTTATATATGTCTGATAGTAGCGCTGATGAAACTTTTGAAATTAAGCCAGAGATATTTTATTCATTAGGACTAAATGGTGATTTTTTTTCTCAGCTTCAAGATTTAACTGTCGCCATACAAATTGAACCATACCCACAAACCGCCATCTCATTATTAAAAATAATTGGTGACAATGCGAAAAAAATTAATACTTTAAAATTCGTAGAGGTTGATGATGATGAGTCACAACTATTTCACAAACTCTCTTACGTCATTAAATCTCAAAATCAACTTAGGTGTTTCAGCTTGCTTGATAGTTTTGGACGCGTCTTTTCAGCCTTGAGATGTCATCAAAATTCATTAAGAGAAATTATAATAGAGAATTGCTATTTTTCTAGTACAGATTTCGCCGTGCTAATGGATTACAGAGATTTGGAAGTTGTTCGTATATATTATGGTAGCGATACAAATAGATTATTGAGTACATTTAACAATAGCCTTCATAAGATTAACACTTTAGAAATTTGGGCTGAGTCGATTAATGCATCGAATACATTACAAATGTTACAACAGTCTGGTTTATTATTACAGCGTTTAAGACTTTTTTCTAAAAGAACAGAAATTTCTTCACTATTGTTATTATTCAAGACACTTATAGCATTCTGCCCAAATGTCACTTATCTCGACTTATCTATTATTAAGCTTTCTACTCAATTCGTAAATTTTATTGGCTGCTTACAGAAACTTCAATTCCTTTCCATACAGTGGATTGAAGATGAACCAGATGAAGAAGTGAAAACATGCATTATGAATTTTGCTAAAAAATTGCCATTATCATTACGTTATTTTAATTTACATGAGAAATGGGATAATTCATCATACTTATACATTGATGTTTTTCTTAATCATTGCAACGCTCCTTTAAAAAATTTATTATTGAAAATTGAATACGATGATAGAAAATTATCAGATGCATTAATTGAATTTTGTATAAGAAAGAAGACGTTGGATAAGCTGCATATACATGATTTGACCATATTCGACGAGGATTGGTATAGATTTAGAAGCGATTTAGAAGGTTATGTTAAATTAGTACCATTTGATCATATTTATGTCAAGTGTTAATTAATATTATTCAAGTATATATAGATTTGTTACGTATTATTTTCAATTTATATTAATTATTAATTGGTAAACGCTATTTTTTTAATTCCGTAGTTCAAAATGCAAATTTATAGTATTAGTAATTTTTGATTTTATTTTTGTAATCAAAAAATATTCTATTAATAAATCAAGATATTTTTAATTTTTCATTAAACGTAAGATTCTTATGTTGATGTTTTTAGTGCTCGGCAAAATCAATCAAAAACTTGATTTTCAAGTTTTCGAAAAGTATTGCACGCACGTGATATACTTATCATCAATTGGAAGCAAGCATCTGGCCAACAGTGCCAGATTTTAAACTTTATTAAAAGATTATTTATTGAGAATATGCAGCGTATATCAGCGCGCTTGACGTACAAACTGAGCCGGGATATACTCCCAGAGATATCAAGCATAATTTCGCTGTGTATCACCATCATCAGCTGAATTTGCTATGTGTAGCAACGGTCGTTGGTTTCCCGCCTGCATTGAAGTAGGCCGACTGATATAGTAAAAAAGACAGTTGTTGCGATCATAACGGTGGTAAGATTGCTAAAATAACCTTGTGGATCCCAAGATATTGCCAAAAAACGGTCCACGACCTTATAAAATTTCCATGTAAACAATGCATAGAAATTTTATATGGTCAGGAAAAGTTTTTTTGACAATATCTCAGACTAGAGTGGACGGGGAAATGTGATGTGCATATATGTGCATATGTGACATATTTTTCGTAAATCATATGTGAACATATGTGCGTGCAGTATATAGATTTCATTCAAATTCTTTGCCAGAAGAAGACATTAATATTTATTTTAATAAATCAAAACTATCCAAAATATGTTTTACCTTTAGTATTAGTACCTAAGTTGGTTTTGCCTTTTAGCATTAGAATCTGAAAAATTAGTTTTGTTGTTTAGCATTAAAATCTGAAATTAGTTTTGCTTTTAGAAAAAATCATCAATAAATCATTAGAAGACCAAAGTTCTCTGGAATTAGTTTTGCAATTAGAAAAAACTAACAATGTAATATAGAAATTTAATTTTACTTTTTGTACAACAATATAAGTTTTAAAAATTGTTAGTTGATATATAATAACATTTAACAAAAAATTTGCAAATTTATTTTTTTTAATTCTCACTTTTTAAAAATGATTATACTCAATGACCATGTTAATAAAAATAAAGAGTATAAAAAAAAAACTTTTATGTTAAAGGTGAAAGTTTATATTGTAGCTTCTGTAAATATATTATAAATTATAAAAATAAGTTTTTACTTGATCAACATCTAAAAACTAATAAACATAAAACAAATAAACATAAAGCCAAAGAAAAAATTAATAAACCAGCTTTTAACATTAATACTTGTTGATACAATTAATATAGAATTAA